AAAAAATACAAATTTTGTCAATTATTGCAAATAATTTTAAATATAAAGAACTTCAAAAAAATCTAAAGGTAAATGAATTTATTATTTATTACTTATAATAAGACTTACTATCAAATATTTACAACTATAGTTTTCTATAAATTGATAAAACAGGTTTTGTTCAAAATAATAGCAAAAGTTAGATATTATTGTAAAATTAACAGTCCAGGATGTTCAGTAATAAATAAACCTATTATTACATGAGTTTGAATTACTGAAGAAATAAAAAAATAATTTCAGAATTTTTTTTGATAAAAATATTGTAAATTCGAGTTCTTATAAGATGGATGCAAAAATTGTTAAATCACTCAAATATCTAAAAAATTAAAAAGAAACATTTATGGCAAAATTTTTTAAATTATACCTTACTGGCATGAAGCGAATAACATTTTTAGCAAATTTGAAAAATGGCTCTTATGTATATAGGAAAGATCTGAGAAGTTTATGTGACATCTATTCTAAATATGACTATAGCATATGGGTTGATTGCTAGGAAAATCAGGTTCCGGAAATTTTTTAGCAAAATTGAGACTTTTATTGCATTTTAGTTTTTGATGTTATTAGATTAAAATGTATTAAGCTCTTTATTTTAGTCAAAAATTTCTCGAAACCTGATTTTCTTAGAAACACTCCCATATTTGATAATCTAAAAATTTTAATAACAAAAAGAATAAGTGAAATAAAGTAACAGGTTATATAATTTTTTTTTAATAATATTTTGGTTTGACCTTTTAGATGTGAAAAAAAAATTATATAACATTTTTTATATTACAAAATAAAGTTCTTAATAAATAAAAAAAATATTTTCAAAATTATAATTTATTTATACACAATTATATTATTTGAAGTTATAATTAATAAAAGTAAAAAATAATAACAAATATTCAAAAATACATTATTAGAATCAACTAATTACAGAACTTAAATCAATTTATTAATATTTAAAATATAAATATGAGAAAGAACTTCAAATAGATTTCCTAGAACAATTTTATCATATTGAATATCTTGAATATTATCTTTTATATGCTTTTGGGAAATATGATTAGCCTTATTTTTCTAATTGCAATCAATGTAATAAAATATCAGAGTTTCTTTTCATTAATTAGCTTATATCATACCAGATGATTTTGAGTAAATCATGGAAAACAGAAAAAAACTTCAATATTTTTGGTCTTATTAAGTATGCAAAATATATCTCAATACTTAATTTAATGCAAATTTTCTCTCTTTTAACAAGAAGATTCTATCATTAAAATAGACTATAAAATGAAGATTTTACCAAAATCAACATGAGAGGTAAAATCAGATTTCTATGGAAAATCTGAATAGACATTACATATAATATTAATATATACAAAAACTAATAATTATGAATTAAAAATAAAAGCCTTTGATCATTGATCTTCAGAATAATTCAAGATGCATTGTTTACAGCTTCATATTTTGAAGTTATTTTTAATTCATTTAAAAAAAAACTAAAATGGATAAGAATTCTATCTGATAATGGTGCATATTACTATTATGCTAAATTAATAATAATGATTACAAACTAAAAATTCTTATATAATGTGAAAATTCAAAGTTAGATTTTTTTAGATACATGAGAAGCCAAAATAACTATTGATTTACATCATGCTCAAGTTATTAGTATAATGATTGTACTGATAGATTATAACTGTGACTTCAAACCTTTTATCATAATTTATTTTTAGATTTCTAATACGATCAAATGGTATATCATGCTAAGATATAATATATCTGAAAACCAAAACATAAAAGAAGCAATTAAAGGTATTAGAAAGTAATAATTGTAAATATTAAATCAAATTGAAAAGAAAAAAAAAAAAAACCTATAATAGCTGATATTTCTAATTGGTTTAAATTTCAGTACCCTATTGAAAGAGAATTTGATAGTTTTATACATAAATAAGCTCTTTCAAATTTTGAAAAATAGAATGATTTCTCTCCTTCTATTATTTGTAAATCAATAAAAAATAGTGAGTAAACTCAACCAAATTCCTCTGCTTTTATATTTATAAATTCAAATTCCAAGTGGATAATTCTAATACTGTTAATAAATAAAAATAATAACTCCCAAAATGAAATAGTTAAACTAAACTAGTTAACAAAGAATGATATTAAAGAAAAACTAAAAAAAGATTCCTACTTTATGATGAAAAAAAATTGGTAAAACTTATTACTATTTTGAAAGAAAATATTGCACATGAAACAATAAATAAAATAGCAGGTAATAGATTTTTTTTGCAAATTAATTTGCAATAAGATTTAACTAATTCATTTTCTCATTATATAAAAGTGAGAAGGGTAATTATTAAAATAATAATATTACAGAGTTAAAAATAAAAAAAGGAAAGAAAGAAAAGGGAATAAAAAAGGAAAAGGAAATGGAAAGCAAGTAGATATAGCTACTTCAAAAAAATACAATTAATTCAATAGCCAGTCTCAAATTATAGAAAAATAATCTCAAACAACTAGTAAAACTTACAACTAAAACATTGTTAAAAAAACTTGCTACTTTTTAAAAGAATTTCAACTAATATTCTTTTTAAAGCTTAATTAACTTTTTTTTTAATTACTTCTTCAGTTCTTAATACAATTTAGGATTAATTTTATCTATTAATATCATTTAAATTCTTGAATAATAAAAGATTTTCAAATTAAAAAAAAATTACAATAAAAAACATATGATAAAAATTAAATAAATATATTTACTTACTTTTATCATTAATTTTTATATTATTATTTCATTAAGATATTTTGCATTCATCAATATACTTCATCTCTAACTGCAATAAACTCTTAAAAAGGATGATTCAATTTTAGTAAATTTCAAATCATACTATATGTTATTTTCTGAATAATATCTACCTTATATATATTCTAACTCTAGAAAAAATCTAACTGTCTACCAATGAGTGACCATTCTTACAGTTCATCTTTAAATTTTTTTAAAAATCATTAGAGATAATATTATACTGCTAAATGAGAAAGAAATGTATATCAAAATTAAAAAAATAATAAAATCATTATTATAATAAATATAAAAAAATTACTTATATACTTACTAAAGGAATAAGTAAATATACAAAAAATTCAATCAAAGACAATTGACTGATCATTTATTGATAATTATATGACTATAATTGACTATTAATTATAATCCCTCTTTAAGCTATTACAACCCAAATTTCATGATTATGTTATTGAATAGAAATAAATCTATAATAATTTGAGTAAAGATATAATAAAGTAAATTCATCTATAATAAATAAACAGAGTTTTTAAATAATTGAGAAAGGAAAACTTCATATCTACTTATATATATTATCCTCAGAATTCTTGATCGAACTAATATAGGATTTATTCTTACTTTTACAGCCTAGTAATATCTCAATGATACCTACTGTATTTATTTTCTTATATTTTACATAATTCACGACATTCTTAATAACATGCTTAAAGTTTTTGAAATAATTTTATAATATCACCTAATAGCAATAATAAGATACCTTCTATGTCAATTTGAGGTCAATATAATTCTAACTTTCTCAATCGAAAAAGAATATCCAGTATGTAGAAAATAGAGATAGGAGAAGATATTCACTTGACACTACCCTGATGTGAATTTCAGGTTTAGAGATTCCTTGATGTTTTCTTATAGTATTTTCTCAATAAGAAATATTAAAATTACAATTTACAATCATTAAGAGTTAGTTTAATTATTATAGTTAAATGAAATTTCTTATTATATAATAATAAAATTTTATATTTACTTAATATCATTCAGTACTAAAATTTAAATATTTCTATCCTTTTTTTAGGAAAAAGTACTTATTTGTTATACTGAAATCACTAAAGCTTGATTGACAGTATAGCAATAAAATGTAATATGCTGAATATGTAAAGTAAACTATTTTGAATTATTTGGTTTTATTGTTTATCTTTAAAGAATATAAATAAATAATAATATTTTTAAATTATTCCAATTCAGGTTTATGTAATCAGGGTATGACATGATGACAAATGGTGAAAATCTGATGCTTAAAATAATAATGATACTTACTCAACCTATTACTTTACCAGTTGAAAATCCTGATTTCAAGTTTTTTAGATTGGATTGATTACTCTGGAATATTGCAACTTAGATGAACGATGTTAGTTTGATATCAATTGTTGTTAGTGAATAATTTCTCTATAAGAATGTTCTGTAATTCAGTATGACTCAAATACTTGAACAATATATATTATTGAAAGATCTATTGGCATAGGCATCTTTGGTTGTGTTAATTGAAAAACAGAAGGATTAAGCTAACTATTGTGAGATAAATACCAATACAAAAAAAGATTTATTTTTTTTTCTTCAGATTGATGATATATTAGACTCCTTAAACAAAGCTTTTGTGGCTCACATTATTAGACCTTTTTAGCAGATATTAGCAAATTGAGATAAATGAAAAAAGATAACACATATCAATTTAAAATAAATAATAATCCTGTTACCTTCCAAAAATTGATAAACCATATCTTTGATATTTATATTTATTTGAATATCTCAATATTTTCTTTTAGAGCTACATAAACTTTAGCTTAACTTCAGTTTTTTTTTACTCTTACTAGAATATCATTTGTTTGTATTACCCAACAATCAGAATGAAAGTATGTAAAGCTCTATGTAATCATGAAAAAATTACAATAAAGTCAAAAACGTTCTATTTTGATTTATATGATAATGAAATTTAATTCTAATTATTTACTACAGTAGCAATATTTTTTTTAAAAAAAAGCACATAATGATTTGTAATCAAGTATTAATCATGTAATCAAAAATAATACATTTGTAATCAATTACTAAAAATGAAAAACAGATGAATTGATAAACATGACACATATATATATTGGACTTTTCTTTTTTTTTCTTTTCTTTCTTGAAAAGTTTGCTATAAAAATCTTAATAGCAAACTTCTCATATTTTCATCTTCAACGAAAGAAAAATTTTCACCTAAAAAAGAAGTAAAAGAAGATATTGCTAAAACCTATTAATAAAACTCATATCTTTGAAAGAATACGAAAACTTTTTTTATGATATAAGAGAAAAGTTGAACTACTAAGAAAATGGAATCCAAGTTTCTGAAAAATTTGGATGTCAAAAGAAAAATAAAGAAAATAGTGTTGCAGGTGAAACTTTTTCTTAACATCTGAAATGTTTTGCCTAAGAGAATTTTTCTATGATTTGAAACTATCTGAAACCTCCAAAACCTAAATTTAGAAAGATTTTTACAGATCAATTTGGTAAAACTAGTTTTACCTGCCCAAAACATTATAAGAAAATTAAAAATTTAATAAAGAAAAGAAATCAAAAAAGAAAATAAAAACAAAATCAAAAACAAAAATGACATTTCGAATACGTAAATAAATTAAAAATACTTTTAAAAGGAAAGTGAATAGATTTTGAATACAGTAAAAATCTAAAAAGATATAAATGCATTTGCGTTGCCACTAATAAAAATTTATATCTTCTGTTTTTGAAACTAAAGAAATGGTAAAGAATGAAACTGCCAAAATAGCATTCATTTCTAAAACTATTATAAAACAAAAATGACAACAAAACGACTACTACATAAATAAATTTAAAAGGTGAGTAGATCAACTTCAAATTTAGCAAAAATCTAAAAGGATATAGGTGCATCTGCACTACTAGAAACAAAGATTTATTTTTCAGTTTTTGAAACTAAAAAAAATGTAAAAAATAAAGCTACCAAAAATGACATTTATTTCTAAAACTATTACAAAAATAAAAATAACAACAAAACAACTACTACGTAAATAAATTTAAAAGGAAAATAGATTGACTTTGAATTTAGCAAAAATCTAAAAGGAATATTGATGCATCTGCACTGCTGGAAACAAAAGATTTATTTTTTCAGTTTTTGAAACCAAAAAAAAATGTAAAAAATGAAGCTACCAAAATGGCATTTATTTCTAAAACTATTACAAAAATAAAAATAACAACAAAACAACTACTACATAAATAAATTTAAAAGGAATATGGATCAAATTCAAATTTAGCAAAAATTTAAAAGGAATATAGATGCATCTGTACTGCTGAAAATAAAAGATTTATTTTTTGATTTTCAAACAAAAGGAAATCACAAAAAATTAAGCTGCTGAATCTCTGAAACCTAAATTTGAAAAGATTTTTGCAGATCAATTTGGCAAAATTAGTTTTACTCAGAATATTACAAGAAAATTAAAAATTTAATTAAAAAAGAAAACAAAAAAGAAAATTTCAACAAAAATAAAAACAAAAACAAAACAACTACTACGTAAATAAATTAAAAAATCTTTTAAAAGAAGAGTGAATAAACTTCAAATTTAGTAAAAATTAAAAAGGATATAGGTGCATCTGCGCTACCGCTAGTAAAAGATTTATATTTTTTATTTTCAAAACTAAGGAAATGGTAAATAATGAAGCTGCCAAAATGGCATTCATTTCTTTTAATTGAATCTTATTTTTTATTTTATTTTATTTTATTTATTTTTTTTAAAAAAAAAATATATATAGATTTTTTTTTGGATTCAATTAATTCTCATACTTAATATATAAATTATATTTATAAAGGCATTAATTTTTTCACTTGAATTTATAACAATTCAAATTTATTTTTAATAAAAAATTCTACTTTTCTAATATAGGAGGTTTGCTATTAAAATAGAATACAAACATATGATCTGTAATCTGATTTTAATAGTTTAATTCCCATATAGGTATCATTTTATAAAAAAGAAATTTTTTTTATATCCAAATGATTTTATTATTTTCATATAATATAAAAAAATATAATAATAAAATAAATATATTCATAGTTCATCAGAATTGATAAAATTTCATTTTATAAAATTTATAAATTTTTTATAATCTAATATAGAATAAAAAATATTAAAAATATTATGTAATCTTTTTATATAAAAAATATATACTTCTCTTGATATGATATAAAGGTTTGTTTTCAATTATAATTCTTTCTAACATATACGTTTAGATGTATTATTTTTAAACAAAAGATTTTTTTGTTAAAAAGGTAATATAATGAAATCAGAATTTGTGCTATAAAGTATTTTTTTCAAGTTTATATTTTTTAAGTATAAGGAATGCTAATGCATTTCTCTCTCTCTTATTTCTCTTAAAATAAAATGCCTAAAATAACAAAAAATAATAATTATACTTACCACGTATAGTGATAATAACAACAGTAACAGCAGTAACAACTGAAATATCCTTTACCATTGTAAAGCAACAGGACAGGATTATGATAAATACATTTGTCATATACAAATTAAAGAGTTAGAAGTAACTATAATGACATTATGTATGTATTATAGATTATTCAAATTTTTATTTTTATTATACCTCTCATTCATATAAATTTTTTTTAGAGGAAGAAGTTAGAAGGTTGCTGAGAAAGAGAAAGAGAAGGAGGAATGAAGGTGATTTTTCATCTCTTTATGTATCAAGTATTAATTTAAAAGCTTAAAATTTCTATATAGTATTAACCAATAATATCACAAGTTTTTATCAATTTGATCTTTAAAATCTTATAATTCATTGTATAAATTCTAATATTTTGACAATATTGATGAGTAAAATTAGTTTTATTAATAATAAAAAAAATGTATTACGCAAAGATTATTCTGTAATTTAAAATACTTTGCTACTTTTTTATGATGCATAAGTTTACATGATATAATTTTAATAGGTAGATTATTAAATTTTGTCATCTACTATACTAGAGAAGGTTTTGTTCACAAGTGTAATGAAAGAAGAGACCAATTACATATCTACTCTTGTCGACTATACATTATGTTCTGGACTAATTAAACTCAATATTGAAATGTTAAAACAATATGATTGTGTGCTTTTTTTCTATGTGTCATTTACAGAGCTGTCAAATTTTTAAATTAAAAAAAATAATTTTTTCTTTTTTGATTTCTATGTAAAAAATCCAAGTATTTAGTGGGAGTTAACTACCAATATTAAATAAATTAACTCGTAATTAATAAAGTTAAAATAAATTAAGATTACAGGATAAAACTCAAATCACATTTTAAAAAGTTAAAACTTTTCGATTTTAATAGTTTTGATAGGTTTTATCCAATAATATTAAATAAATATATTTTCTTTTGCTATTATTTCATCATGTAATTATTATTATTTTTTAATAAAAAGATACTATTGCATATATTTACAAATAAAAATACAGACATTATAGCATAACAATCGATGAGTGATGTAAGATTGACAATATGAAGGGAATGCTGAGAAAAGGAACCAAATTAACATTTAACAAAAAAATTTTTTTTACTATAAATGAATGTAAATCTAATTAGAAACCATTTTAATTTAATATAGAAAGCATATTAATATAATAAAATACTGCACCACAATCTTGTAAATCTTACGTTACATATATTCAGAATATATAATGGAAAATACAAAATACTATTTATCAAAATGTATAAAATATTAATTTAGTTCCTTTTCTTAGCACTTCTTCCACAAATTATGATATACACCACAGTTTATAAATTATTTTGTTATGTATAATATTATAATAATATTACTAAATTTAAGTAACAAAAAGATATCATCACAATTTTTAACATTTTTACCTGTTATAATATAAAAGATAAATTAATAGTAGTTATATTTAAAAACTTATAGAAAAAGCTAAACATACCATATACCCAAACAAATATCCAATAATTTAATTTTTTATTAAATATTAACTTTGAATCCATTAAACCTTTCCTTCCAAATTTGGCTATTTATAATTTTTTGACGGTGTTCATGATGCAACAGAAAAAGAAGAGGATTTTTGTCTTTATAACGATTTGTTGATTTGATAATTTTTTATTATGTAGAAGACGAATATAAAATTTAAGTGATTTATAACAATATTGAGAACAAATCATAATTGTTTGCTGATTATCCTATTTTGATAAAAAAAATAATAAAAAATTAGTATTGATGATAATGCAACATATTTATATAATTATCAAAATATTTTTTTATATATACTTTTTTTCTTTGGAAATGAAGACGATCTTTTTTATATTTAATTTCATTATTTCAACAGACAACTTCATTTCAAGCTTGAATTGCTTGTGTAATAGCATGGTCAAGCACTTCATATGGATAGTCCTTCATGAACTCCATTCAAGAGTATGTGAAATCTTAAGTTTAAGAAGAGATCGAAATCAAAATTGATGAGTTGATAAATGACCATAGTTGAAATTTGTAACCACCATGTTATAAACAAGCCTGTATATAATATATAAAGTTAAAAATTACAATGATTTAAAAGAAACAATAATGAAAACAAAATACCTAGCACAACCCATCCATTGTTTCAACAAATTTTTTTGTGAGGAATTTGGGTACACTCTAACCTTTAGAGATCGAGTTAGATCAGCCTACTTTTGACGTTTGCGCGGTGAGTTGACTTCAATGGCTTCTTGCGTTTTCTG